AAAACAGAAATTACTGGAAAAGCTCAGCAGGTCTGGCAGCATCTGTGGAGAGAAATTGAGTTAATGTTTCAGATCAAGTGACCCTTCCTCAGAACTGACATTTGCCAAGCTACCATCAGTTCTGAGGAAGAGTCATTCGACCCGAAAGGTTAACTCTAATTTCTGTCCACAGATGCTGCTAGACCTGCTGAGCCTTTCCAGCAATTTCTGTTTTTGGTACAGCTAATGTTCATGCTCATCTGTAACTGGCTGCATGAGTAGTGAAACAAGTGAGGAGTGGCCTTGTTTTTCCTGGCTTCAGTGTGGAACATAATGTATGTAACTACAGACAGCACCATTCTGTGCATGAACATGTGGAGATCTGTCTGCCACCTCAGCCTCGAGGGAAAAGTGAAATAGTCCATGATTTTATCTCAATAAATATTCAATTGCATATTGTCAAAGTGTGGAGGATAGGGAACTCTTCTACTTCAGATAAAAACTTTGCTGCCTGGACTGTCCATCATTACTCTCATGTCCATAACACTGGCCCGTATTCCATCAATTACTTGATTTCAAAAATTGTTTTCAAATCCCTTCTTGGTCGCTCTTTCAGTTCTCTGGAGTTCTAAACTCCAGAATTCCCTCCTTAAACTTCTCCACTTCTCTCTCCTCCTTGAAGATGCTGCTGAAAAGCAACCTCAATGAGCAAGCTTTTGGTCACCTGCCTCAATGTCTATATGGTTCAGTGGCAAATTTTCACGCTTGTGAAAAGCTTTTACTGCATTAAACGTATACTATAAATGAAAACTGTTATTGAGCAAGGCTCGATGGTTGGAAGTTTGTATATTTTCCTGAATAAAACTAACCTGTGTGGCAGGGTTCCAAGAGCACGAGAAGTGTCTGAACTCCTTCAAGATATTTGCTGATCTTTTGAAAAGCAACTAAAGGAGTAATATAATTTCGCTCATTATTGGCAGGTTGGTGCTTTCTGGAATTTCCTGACTGTCTGAGGTTTCAGTGCAGAAATTTTTGTACAGGGTTCCCGAATGGACTACAGGTCTCTTACTTCTAGCTTTTTGAGCTAGGAAGCATACTGCAAAGGCACCACTGCCTGTGATGCAGAATAGTGGTTTCCATTAATGATAATCTTTACTGATACAATATGGTACTGGAATCATACGTCAATTTAATATAGCCCAGTTATACTATCAAAAGTTTTGTAATATTTGAAATGTTTTAAGATGGAAACAGGATGAAATCTCTACACTTCATAAATTTATCTAACAACCATTTTCTGCATTCTATGAAAGTGCTGAACAGTTAGGCAACGAGTGCATTAAAGCAACGCATATGACATGTTTTCCCTATAGGAAAAACTATCCTCTTCACAGCATTTGAATTTTATTCTATCCTTTTCTGATCTGGCCTTTGGTCAGACTAGTGTGTTACACTGAGGAGAAACTCTGAAGGTTATGGGAGGTGATGTCATAGTGACATTATCGTTAAGGCTACAATCCAGGTAATGTTCCAGAAACCCAGATTCAAACCCTGGTCTCCAGAACTTGATGCCCAATTCAGTCTGAATTCAAAAACAAGATCTAGAATTAAAAGTCGAAAGATGATCATGAAAGCACTGTCAATTGTCATGAAAAGCCACCTGGTTCACAAGTGACATTTAGGGAAGGAAAACTGCTGACTTTATCTGGTCTGGCCTACATGCAACTCCAGATATATGGAAAACTGCCCTCTGAAATGTTGTATAAAACGCTAATTTGACTCAAAATGGAACGAAACTAGATGGGCCCATTGGAAACATGGAACTCCACCACCTGCAATTTCTCCTGCAAGGCACACACCATCCTGACTTGGAAATTTATTGCTGTTCCTTCAGCATTGCTGCACCAGAATCCTTGAACTCCCTCTCACAGCATTGTGGGGCTGCATACATCAAACAGTCTACAGCAATTCACCACCGCTTTCTCAAAAGCAACCAGTGATAGGCAATAAATGTGGCCTACATATTATTTGCAAATTTGGGGATGGAGGGAAGTCAGTAACCTACTCACATGCATCTGCTGCATCTGTAAAAGCCAAGCTAAGATCTTGAGCTTTGAATGCATGGAATAAGAAGAAACAAATTTCAAGAACACTACGAAGGGCAAAAGGTAGCTAATAGAGCTTTTCAAGATAAAAGATTTCAATAATGGAAATGGGGAAAAAAGAATATTACTGCTTGGAAGTGGCTCATGATTTTTGAAAATTCATTCACGGTATGTGGATGTCACTGGCCAGCATTTACTGCCAATCTCTAAATATCCTCAAAAAGGTGCCAAGTCATTGGAAAAAGCTCAAGGAGAATTTGTTGACTCAGATGCCAAGCTAAGGAACACTCCACTTGAATAAGTGGAAAGTGATTTTACAGATAATTTTAAAAAAAGGGAGTTAGGCAGATACATCAGAAAGAGGAACATACAATATTATAGCACTGAAACTACAAGAACTGAATATATATGGCACCATTAACTTCATGAATCATCCCAAGGTGCTTCCAAGAGAATTACAAAACAAAAATTAACACAGAAGACAATCCTATTGCAGCTGACCAAAGCTTGACCCAAAAGACAGATTTCAAAGAGCATCTTAAATGAGAGAAATAGAGGGGTAGAGAGATTTATGCAGGATATTCCAGAGAATAACTGCCCTTTCAAAGATCCAGGACAGCCACGACAGTTCAAAATGATTCCATGTGTGCTGTCAATTTCTGTCTTGTTAGGCTCTTGTTAGGAAGCATTGGTGCACTTCTACAGGATGCAATGTAGAAATTCATCAATGTTTTATAGGCAGCACCTTCCAAACTCATAACCACTACCATTTAAAAGGACAAGGGCAACAGATACATGGGAACACCTATACTTGCAGGTTCCCCTTCAAGCCACTGTTAGTTTGTGGCCGTGGATTTGTGCAATGTGCAGATGATCAGGAGCTGAGGAGTTGTTTACAAGAGTGACTGAGAGGGAGAGGGAGACAGAAAGAAAAAAGAACAGCAATAGTAAATTGGGATAATATCTCAGAAAAGATGAGCTTTTGCTTTCTGAAGAAATATTAAACTTACAAAATACTGTAGCACATCAACCAATAGCCTTATAGAGATAGTAGGAACTGCCGATGCTGGAGAATCTGAGATAACAAGGTGTAGAGCTGGA